AAACGTTCCTTAACCAAGGAACGGCCGAATGACCGGCGTCTCCACTCCGCGGAACGTTCTGCGAGCGCTAAAGGGAAGGCGGGAGTACAGGTTTTGGAGCGGACGCTGAGAAAGGCAAGCCCGCGCCGCCTCTCTGTGTTGGCAACCCGGCTGGTGGTCAAGTTTCGGCTTCTGGGGCCAGCTGTGGGTCTTGGCGAGGGACATAGATCCGGATTCGCATCCTGACCGGCCAACCGACGCTGGTCGAGCTGACCACGCTCCTGGGCACCCGCACCTGCAGTCCGCAGGGGACCCCGCCGCCTTCTCCAGGGCGTCAAAGAGGCCGGGCCCTTGGGTGCTAGGGCTCCTGGGTGCCGGGGCCAAGTTTCCGAGTGCCGCTCTCAGCAGCGCACCAACCGGAAGTGGCTGTGTTGTGGCGGAAGGAGGCGATTTCTGGGAGTAGCCGGTGCTGAGAGAACCGTGGCCGGCAAAGATGATTCAGGCGATTCTGGTTTTCAACAACCATGGAAAGCCGCGGCTAGTCCGCTTCTACCAGCGTTTCGTGAGTGCGGCCCGGCTTCACCACGCCCGTTGAGGGTGCCCACTATCTCTTCCCTCCTCTTTGGCCTCTGGGCGCCCGGGGGCACCGCTCCTTGGTCACCTGGGGCTCCTGCACCGTGCATGACCCTCACCCTTCTTAAGCACTTAACCTGGGCGCAGGCCGGTGCCAGGCATTTTGTCTCCCGCCCTACTGCCCCCGCTCTTTCTGACCCTTTTCTGGATCCTGGCATTTCTGTGCCATTTTGTGACATTTTCCCTTGGGTCTCTGGGAACGAGAGAGAAGCGACAGTGGGGATTGTGCCTCGTTGAGAACTTGAATGATTGAAGTCACGTTCTGTCATCTTTTTGGTGGTTGACCACAGTTTCATGAGGAAGAAATATTAAGTTTCTGAAAGTTTTTGTTATAGCCAAAGGGTCTGGAAAAGTTCTTTATTTGGAATTACTTTGCTTCAGTGTTGGCTGGGACTTTCCAGAGACTAGATACCCTTCACTCTGTAGGGTTGAAGAAAATTTTAGTTTAAAAGTGGAAACATGACGAGAAATTATAAATGCTGCTGCATAAGGGCTCAATAAGTGATTACGTAAATTTGAATTTTCCCAACACGTTCCTTTGCAAACACATAAACATCAGTATTTGCTTCCTGTCTTCCAATATTTTATTTCTTCATGGCGGGGTTTCAAAATGTTACATAATTGGGGTACTGGTGAAACTGAAGAGGGGAAAGAGTCAGAAAACGTATCCCGGCTTCAGCTCCACCTTTTCTACTCTTGCGTCTATTGACAAGTTAATAAACCCTTTTCAGACTTTTATTCTGTCTTGTCAATTAGAAATGAAAAACTAATTTTACTCCTTCATAAGATTTTTAAAGCTAGATTACATTTAATTAAGTAGATTACATCGAGGTAAAAATATGAGTATTCAACATAACTATTTGTATTTGCATTTGTGTGTATACAGATTCCCCGCTAGTTTTTTTCTAACAGGGTTATTGAGATAAAACTAACATGCCATACTATTTACTTATTTATTTTACGTTATTTAATTATAGAGATGGAGTCTTTCTATGTTGCCCAGGCTGGTCTTGAACTCCTGGGCTCAAGCAATCCACCGGACTCAGCCTCCCAAAGTGCTGGGATTACAGGCATGAGCCACTGTGTCTGGCCCCAGTTTACCTATTTAAAGGGGACAGTTCAGTGTTTTTTAGCACGTTCACAGAAGCTGCACAACCATCACCACAATCAATTTTAGATCATTTTCATCACCCCAAAAAGAAACCTCTGCCCATTAGCACTCATTGCCTATTTCTCCATGACTGTCCCAGCCCTAGAGAGTCTCTTTCCCTCTAAATTCGCCTGTTCTAGAATGGCAAATGGAATTTGACTATTCCAGAGTGGCAGATGGAATTTGCCTACTCCAGAGTGGCAGATGGAATTTGCCTATTCCGTTGCATATAAATGAAATCATAAATAAGTGGGTTTTTTTGTGTCTGCCATGTTTCATGTAGTATAATGTTTTCAAGATTCATCCATGTTGTAGCATGTATCTGATCTTCATTTCTTTTATTGCTGAATAGTATTGCATTATATGGGTATGCCATATTTTGATTGTCTGTTTATAAGCTGATGTTTCTACTTTTTGGCTCTTCTAACTAATGCTGCTATGAACATTCTTGTGTAAGTTTTTATGTGGACTTATGACTTCATTTCTCTTGGTCATATACCTAGGAGTAGAATTGCTGGATCATATGGTAACTATGGTGAACATTGTGAGAAACTGCAAACTATTTGACAAACTTTCCAAGTGGCTGCACCATTTTACATTTCCATCAGCAATGTATAAGGATTCCAGTTTCTTCACATCCCTGCCATTCGTTATTTATTATTATTTTTTTGATTAAAGACATTTTAGTGGGTATAAAGTGGTATCTCATTGTGGCTTTTTTTTTCCCCCGAGACTGAGTCTCGCTCTGTCTCCCAGGCTGCAGTGGCGTGATCTTGGCTCACTGCAACCTCTGCTTCCCGGGTTCAAGTGATTCTCCTGCCTCAGCCTCCTAAGTAGCTGGGATTACAGGTGCCCGCCACCATGCCTGGCTAATTTTTGTATTTTTAGTAGAGATGGGGTTTTGCTATCTTGGCCAGGCTGGTCTTGAACTGCTGACCTCAAGTAGTCTGCCCGTCTTGGCCTCCCAAAGTGCTGGGATTACAGGTGTGAGCCACCGCACCTGGCTCATTGTGGTTTTGATTTTAATTTCCAAAATGACTAATGATGTTGAGCATCTTTTCATGTGCTTATTGACCATTCATGTATCTTTGGAGATCATAGGATTTTTATAAGACCTCATGAGCTCATAGATGAAAGTACCTTGAAAACTACAGAGTACTAAAATGATATGAGGGGTTATTAAAATCCCTGAGGCATGTAAGCAATTGGTAGTTTACCTTTTTACTGAACTAGAAATTAGGTAGCCTCATCATTTCATACCATTTCCCACTGCTGCCACTTCCCCCAGAGTCAGATAAAAGGCTTTAGTTCAAAAGATGTGTTTTCAGTTTTAAAAAGTGCTGATGTTTAGCATGTTTCGTATTTTGCAGTATATAGAATTAGTTCCTTACAGCATCCTGTCATCTGTGAGCTTTGTTCTTTAAATGGAAATGAGGAAAATAGTGATTGATTTACTCAAATTTGTAGTGACCAATGATTAGCAAGTTTTCATTCATTCAGTAAATACTGTGAGCCATTCCATACCCATGTGAGTCAAAGTAGTTTCCCCACAATTACATTTTCCCTGTTTTTTCCCCTCTCTGTTTCTTTTCAATAACTAACCCTTTCAAAGCTAAATTCAGGGCTGTAGAAAAAAAGGGATTAAAATTACTTGAACCTATTTTCTAACTCTTGGGGCAAGTCCAATTTAAGGTTTTCTTATGCTTTGTTACTCAAAGTGTGGTCCCCAGACCAGCAGAAATGGTATTGCCTGGGTGCTTACTAGACTTGCATCTCAGGATTTAACCTATACCTGCTAAATCCGAATCTGTATTTTAACAACATTCACAGTGGATTCATTGCAAATTAAGATTTGAGAAGCAATGGTCTAGAGCTTTAAATTATTTTCTGTCTTAATTGCTGGTTTCTCCCTCTCGTTACCCTTTTTAACCATACTTCTTCTGAAACTCATATGTATAATTAGAAATCAAAGGTGAGTTATCAAAGTGATTTCATCAGAGTTGAGCTTTCTTATGCACGTAGTAAGTGAAAAAATAAGGCCAGACATGGTGGCTCACGCCTGTAATCCCAGCACTTTGGGAGGCCAAGGCATGTGGATCACTATGAGGTTAGTAGTTCAAGATCAGCCTGACCAACATGGTGAAACCCCATCTCTACTATAAATACAAAAATTAGCGGGGCATGGTGGCACATGCCTGTAATCTCAGCCACTGGGGAGGCTGAGGCAGGAGAATCGCTTAAACCCGGGGTTGGAGGTTGCAATGAGCTGTAATTGCACCACTGCCTGGGCAACAGAACACGACTCAGTCTAAAAAAAAAATAATAAAACATTTTATTTGTAGCTCTCTGTTCAAAATTTTAATCTGTGATCTATTTTTCTCAATAATACTTTGTTGATGAGTAACACAGCATCTTATATGTAGTATCTATATTACCAGTACAAAAGATGGCAGCTGTATTTGCCAATACAACTTTTTAAAACATTTACATGATTACTTCTTGACCTTAACCTTCTTTCTTTTTTTTTTTTTTTTTGAGATGGAGTCTCACTCTGTCGCTCAGGCTGGAGTGCAGTGGCGTGATCTCAGCTCACTGTAACCTCTGTTTCCTGGGTTCAAGCAATTATCCTGCCTCAGCCTCCCAAGTAGCTGGGATTACAGGCATGTGCCACCACGCCCGGCTAATTTTGTATTTTTAGTAGAGATGGGGTTTCTCCATGTTGGTCAGGCTGGTCTCGAACTCCTGACCTTGTAATCCACTCCCCTCGGCCTCCCAAAGTGCTTGGATTTCAGGCGTGAGCCACCGTACTTGGCCCACATCTTGACCTTCTTAAAATGTTAGACCTGTTGAGATTTATTATATACTTGTCACAGATGTTTTCCAGGGGAAGACAAAATATTTCAGGATCAGGCCTTCTAGTTATTCTCTGACTTTGTATGAGAGTTTATCAATGTTCCTCTTCTTGTTTAAATATCAGCTTACCTATAGGACAGTAATGGTTAGTGACTTAGATATTTAGGTAAATATACCTTATCTTAATTCCTGTATCAGAGCCTTGTCATCCATTTTTCATAGATTCACTCTTATTTTTTCATCATCATTTTTATCATTTCTAGAAACAAGTACTAAATGTTTAGATGTTCCCAGCTTAGAAACACTTCTTCCCTTGTCCATCCCCATGGATGGGATGTAGTTTTTCAGGCCTGCCCACTGATTCACTTATCTTTTTGTTTCATAGCCAGAAGAAATTCAACAGCAGATTGTTCGAGAGACTTTCCATTTAGTCCTCAAGCGGGATGACAACATCTGTAACTTCTTGGAGGGTGGAAGGTAAACTGTCAGCTTCATTTTTCTCCCCATATATCCACTTGTGAGTGCCCTTCATTATTGCATCTTCTGGCAGTACTCAAGTGTCAGGTGGATACTTGATGCAACTTTAACTGGTCTCACCATGATCTGCTCAGGGAGAGACACAATTCTCTCTGGGGGCGCAGTTCAATTACTGTGCTTCTGATATCGCTCATTTAGATGATCGGTCCCTGAGAGGATAGGCAGGAGAAAAGGTGAGGTAAGGTGGCTTTAGGTACCTCTGCCAAACTTGGTTGCCATTCACCTAGTTAGAATGGCCTGCTTCTAGCGTCTGGCCTTCTCCTTTCCAGTAGGCCCTTTCTCATTCTTTGGCACAAGGTTCCTTTTTGATGTGTTTAATTAAGCTGTGGGCATTTAAATGTTTCCCATCTTCTGCAGTTTGATTGGTGGCTCTGACTACAAACTGATCTACCGACACTATGCTACCCTCTACTTTGTATTTTGTGTGGATTCGTCAGAGAGTGAACTTGGAATCTTGGACCTCATCCAGGTATGTGTAGTCAGCTAATGATGGCAGCAACTTTAGAGAGTTTCCACGGGATTTTTGAGTAACCTTGTGTCCATCTCCTTATTGATACTGGTAAAAGTTGCCAGACGTCCACCAGGTGGTGCTCTGGGAGAGCTCCTGAGAAACCCTCAGCACTTGTAGATTTATTGGTTTCTATCTAGCCCTTGCACTGCCCTTGGTTTTCATTTACAAACTTATACTTTTGGCCGGACATGGTGGCCCACAATCTGCTTTCAGATTGTTTTTATTACCTTCATGAAAACTGAGATGTGTAGGGACCCTAGCTTGGGAACTATTCATTTAGCATAATTTCATCATTTTATATGTGAGATTCTAGATGAGCTTCTTTTAAGTACTTGAATAAGCCCATAGGTAGAAAACACTCAAATAGATGCTACATTGAAAACTTAAGTAACAACAATTGTGGAAAAGAAAATTCTATAGCTATGAAATGTAAATTTTAAATGCTTACAACAACAAGCCAGGTATGGTAGCTCATGCCTATAATCCCAGCACTTTGGGAGGCCAAGGCAGGCGGATCAGTTGAGGTCAGGAGTTTGAGACCAACCTGCCAATATGGTGAAAGCCTATCTATACTAAAAATACAAAAATTATGCAGGCATGGTGGTGTGCACCTGTAGTCCCAGCTACTCAGGTGGCTGAAGCAGGAGAATCGTTTGAACCTGGGATGTGGAGGTTGCAGTGAGCCGAGATCGTGCCACTGTACTCCAGCCTGGGCAACAGAGTGAGACTCCGTCTCAAAACAACAATAAATTAAAAATAAATAGGCCGGGCATGGTGGCTCACACCTGTAATCCCAGCACTTTAGGAGGCCAAGGCGGTCAGATCACGAGGTCAGGAGATTGAGACCATCCTGGCTAACACGGTGAAACCCCGTCTCTACTAAAAATACCAAAAATTTGCCGGGCATCATGGCGGGCGCCTGTAGTCCCAGCTTCGGGAGGCTGAGGTAGGAGAATGGCATGAACCTGGGAGGTGGAGCTTGCAGTGAGCTGAGATCGCGCCACTGCACTCCAGCCTGGGCTACAGAGTGACACTCTGTCTCAAAATAAATAAATAAGTAAATAATAAATAAATAAATGCTTACAACAAAATTTGTTTTCTTAAGATAAAAGTTTAAAAGCTAAACATATCTTGGAACAAATAAATTGAAATTTTGAATATATAGTTTTGTAAGATAATTAAAAATTTCATACATTGTATTCACTTATACATAAAAGTATACATAAAGATGAACCCATCTAAAACAGATGCATCTTGGAGATAATTTTTAAATACTTTCTTAAAACTTGAGTCAGATTGGACATTGAGAGTCAGCATAATAGAAGGAGCTCAAGGTGAGGCGCAGTGGCTCACACCTGTAATCCCAGCACTTTGGGAGGCTGAGGTGCGTGGATCACTTGAGGCCAGGAATTTGAGACCAACGTGGTCAACATGATGAAACCCTGTCTCTACTAAAAATACAAAAAATTAGCTGGGCCTGGTGGCATGTGCCTGTACTCCCAGCTACTTGGGAGGTTGAGGTGGGAGAATCGCTTGAACCCAGGAGGCAGAGGTTGCAATGAGCCAAGATCGCACCTCTGCGCTCCAGCCTGGGTAACAGAGTGAGACCCTGTCTCAAAAAAAGAAAAAAAGCTCAAGATCTAGCATCAGGAAATCTGGGTTTGAGTCATGAATCTACCATCTGAAAAGTGATATTAGGTTGTAGAATTCAAATGTGAGAATGTGCTTTATACTACTGTTAACTGTATGTAGCAGGCTATAGAAATGTGTACATAATATGAGTTTATTTGAAAATTAAGGAAATATAGTGATAATGTATTTTAAAAATTGGGATAGAGTGCTTGCTTCATTCAGCAGCATATATTCTAAAAGTGGACCAATGCAGAAAAGATTAGCATTGCCACTGTGTAAGGATGACATGCAAATTGGTGAAGCATTCCATATTATAAAAAATAAGGAAAATTTTTTAAAAGAGAAAAAAAAATTGGGCCACAGTTAGAGAAAATGGACCTTGGAGATTTATATTAACAATACAAAAAGACCAGTTTTATAATTTTTTAAAAATTATTGGCCGGGCGCAGTGGCTCAAGCCTGTAATCCCAGCACTTTGGGAGGCCGAGATGGGCGGATCACGAGGTCGGGAGATCGAGACCATCCTGGCTAACACGGTGAAACCCCGTCTCTACTAAAAAAAAAATACAAAAAATTAGCCGGGCGAGGTGGCGGGCGCCTGTAGTCCCAGCTACTTGGGAGGCTGAGGCAGGAGAATGGCGTAAACCCAGGAGGCGGAGCTTGCAGTGAGCTGAGATCTGGCCTCTGCACTCCAGCCTGGGCAACAGAGCGAGACTCCGTCTCAAAAAAAAAAAAAAAAAATTATTTATTTATTTATTTATTTTTGAGACAGAGTCTCGTTCTGTTGCCAGGCTGGAGTGCAGTGGCACGATCTCAGCTCACCGCGACCTCCGACTCTCTGCTTCAAGCAATTCTTCTGCCTCACTCAGCCTCTCGAGTAGCTGGGATTATAGACACACACCCAGCTAATTTTTGCAGTTTTGGTAGAGACAGGGTTTTACCATGTTGGCCAAGATGGTCTTGATCTCCTGACCTTGTGATCTGCCTGCCTTGGCCTCCCAAAGTGCTGGGATTACAGGTGTGAACCACTGTGCCCGGCCTCTAACTTTATAATTTAATAGACATTTATTAAATATTTAGTGTACGTTGGATTTGGTAAGATCAGATAAGTAAAATGTAAAAATAATAGGAACTAAAAAGTTTAATCTTTGTTTTTGTTTTTTTTTGAGACGAGGTCTTGCTCTTAAACTGGAGTGCAGTGGTATGATCACAGCTCACTGCAGCCTCCATCTCCCAGGCTCAACCCATCCTCCTACCTCAGCCTCCTGAGTAATGGGGCCTACAGGCATGCATCACCACATCTGGCTAATTTTTTGAATTTTTTAGAGATGAAGTCTCACCATGTTTTCCAGGCTGGTCTCAGACATCTCAGCTTAGGCAGTCTTCCCACTTTGGCCTCCCAAATTGCTGGGATTACAGGTGTGAACCACTGGACCCAGCTGATCTTTGAAAAGACAATAAAAATTAATAAATAGTTGGCCTAATTGATATAAAGAAGATAGAAATAGAAAACATTGTTTTAAAGGGATGATATATACATAGTTATACTACCAATATATCTGAAATAGCTGACTACAAAAAATAACTGCACTGGCCTGGCACAGTGGCACGTGCCTATAATCCCAGCACTTTGGGAGACCAAGGAGGGTGGATCACTTGAGGCCAGGAGTTTGAGACCAGCCTGACCAACATGGTGAAACTTCGTCTCTACTAAAAATAGAAAAATTAGCTGCACATGGTGGCACATGCCTGTAATCCCAGCTGCTTGGCTACTTGGGTAGCTGAGGCATGAGAATCAATTGAACCTGGGAGGCAGAGGTTGCAGTGAGCTGAGATCACACCATTGCACTCCAGCCTGAGCAACAGGGCAAGACTCTTATCTCAAAAAATATGAAAACAAAAAACTGCCCAAATGAGGTCAACATAAAAGCACTGAAATAATATTAGGATAAAATAATAGATGTTAAAAAACAAAACAAAACAAAAAAAGAACTGACTCCCTAATGGGGTCACAGTAGAATTTTTTAAAGTTGAAGTACATTAAAACCTGTATGTTGCATTCAGTTATTTTTTCAAACTTAGAACAAGGAATCCTACTACCTAAGCGTATTTCATGGAATAAATTGGTTATCATCCAAAAACCTGACTCTAAAAAGCAAGATGGGCCGTGCACAGTGGTTCACGCCTGTGATCCCAGCACTTTGGGAGGCCAAGGCGGGAGGATCACGAGGTCGGGAATTTGAGACCAGCCTGGCCAATGTGGTGAAACTCTGTCTCTACTAAAAATACAAACAAAATTAGCTGGGTGTGGTGGCCTGTGCCTGTAGTCCCAGCTACATGGGAGACTGAGGCAGAAGAATCACTTGAGCCTGGGAGGCGGAGGTTACAGTGAGGTGAGATTGCGCCACTGCACTCCAGCCTGGGTGACAGAGTGAGACTATGTCTCAACAAAAAAAAGGGGAAGATGTTTGTCAAATATTGCTTGTTAGTATTGGTATAAAATTACATACTAACTAAAATCTTAGCCAACAATCAGTTGAACCAAGGGATTGTGAAACCTGACTTCTTTTTCCTTTTTGACTCTCCCATTAACAAGCAATGTGCCCTTAAACAAATCATCTAGGCTTTATTGGCCTTAAGGGTTTTTGTTTGTTTTGCATTTTGTCTCTTCTGTGTGTTGGGTGTTGTTTTTTTTTAAAATCTACAAAGATACTAGATATTCTTTTCTAGCCCTAAAATTATTTCTTTAGCAGGAAAACTGCATACTATTAAATAGAAGAATTATACATTGTGTCCAAATAGTATTTATTCCCAAGAATGCAAGTCAGTGTAACAAAGAAAAATTAATAGTTGGCCGGACGCGGTGGCTCAAGCCTGTAATCCCAGCACTTTGGGAGGCCGAGACGGGCAGATCACAAGGTCAGAAGATTGAGACCATCCTGGCTAACACAGTGAAACCCCGTCTCTACTAAAAAATACAAAAAGACTAGCCAAGCGAGGTAGCGGGCGCCTATAGTCCCAGCTACTCGGGAGGCTGAGGTAGGAGAATGGTGTAACCCCGGGAGGCAGAGCTTGCAGTGAGCTGAGATCCGGCCACTGCACTCCAGCCTGGGCGACAGAGCGAGACTCCGTCTCAAAAAAAAAAAAAGAAAGAAAAAAAAGAAAAAGAAAAATTAATAGTCTATTATAGCAGTAAGAAAAACTAATATAATAAAAATTAGTAGTTTCTGAGAGGAGTGATTATCCAAATTATATTAAGTACGCTCTTAAACTGGAATAAGAAGCATTTTTGATTAAAAGTACACATTTATTGTTTACTTTCTGAA